TAAAATTGACATGACCAAAGAGGAAACAATTATTATTAGCTATTTTAAAGTGTGTACAGTAGCAATATGGGACACCATCTCTATTTGGACTCATAATCCTGTTCTAGCGATCCCATACAACGTACAGTCTGTTTCATTAGTCAGATACTTCTTTTTCAGGTGCATGCTTGTGCACAAAGATCTACCTGGAGTATTATCTGGAGTAGTTAGTTAGCACGCATAAATTTTTATCAAACTTTTACTGTTTTGCAAAGCAAGAAGTGGAACGAACTGCCCCGGGGAAGTGGGATGAGTCTCCCACTGCAAATTACATGATCAGTGTCCGCGAGAGTAGACAGTGGTGTGCGTGTAAAGAAACCCCAGCCCTGCTTGTGGATGCACGTACCTAAAACCAGTCCTGGAACACTGGCATCTTTTGCCCATGCCAAACTGCTGTTTGCATACTCGTGTTGACGTAAGTTCGCTTCATCGTTCACTGAAAGTAGAGCTGAACCAACACAGAACAGAATCAGCAGAGGTAATTCTTTGAAAGCATCTTTGCTGCTGGACAGCTGCAGTTAGTGTGGCAACTCTCTTTTTGATACAGCAGCTTATTTTAATCAAACAAAAGAAAATGTAGTTTATATTTCAGAGGTAAATTGTACTTCCAACGTGGTGTATTTTAACTGATCTAGAAATACTGGCACCCTGATTATTTCATTTTAAATATATGACTTCGATGCCTGGAGGGAATAGTCTCTAAATGAATCTCCTTGGACCTCGCAGTAGCAGTTACACGCCTTGCATGCTTAGCTGTTCACGCTTTTCTCTTTAGTAATAGGTATTTTTTGTTGGCTCAGCTAAAATAGAAAATCTTGAATTGCCTTTTTTTTTCCCCCTCTAATCAAATACTGTTGATGGAGAAATTAAATACTATGTTTGTAAAAAGTAATACCTTTATCAAATGGGCCTCATTCGTCTTTAGATGTCTTCTAGGCAAGCTAGATCCAAAAAAAAAAAAAAAAAAAAGGTTATTGAGGGAGAGAAAAAGTTTACGTATAGAAATAAAATAAGATTTTGAAATATATTACATTTTATAATTCTGCTTTTCTTTTTTCTTTGTGCGTCCTCAGATTGTTTTACAGACTTGTAAAATGCAATTTCAGAAGTTTGATTAAAGATCTGTGCTAGAAAAACTATGCAGATAATATAGGTCAGTGTGCTGGTTCCTAAACGTGCAGCAGTCATTAAAAAGGTGGTCGCTGTCACTCTTACGGATATGTTTTGAAGAGTTTTGACTTGACCGTTGTATTTCACTGTTCAGAGAGATTTGCATTTCGAAATGATCCAGAAATCAAGGGAACTAGCCTAAACTTTCCACGTCAAGGGTCCTCCTGGCTTTTGTGTCTTACGCCCCAGGCTGACCATCGCTTCTTGGCACAGCCGTTGCGCTTGCAGCGAGCAGAAGGGCCCGTTTCAGGCGAGACGCCTTTCCTGGCTTCAGAACTTCTGGCTCTTGGTTGCGCCGTTCCAGAGCCGCGGGTGTGCCAGGGTGGGGTGCTGCCCCCGCGGGCGGGTCCTACAGTGTCACCCAGAGGGGTCCCGCGGCGCTCCTTACCCGAGGGTGCGCCGGGGGGAGCAGCCTGACTCCTGCAAGCTCGGTGGGAGAGGGTTTTCGTTTTGAAGGCTTTTCGTCTGCTCGTGCTGTGGGTACATTTTGAAGGTGTGTGTTTTGGTAGCTGGCTTTTGATTGCTTTGGGGGTTGGCGGTGTGTGGGTCTTTGTGTGCTTTGTATTTTTGGTTTGGTTGTTTTTCTGTTGTTGTTTTTGTGGGTTTTTTAATTTCTCCTTTTATTTTTTTAATTTTTTTTTTAACTCTAGCAGTGTATTAGGTGCAGTTTCCAGACTAACTTTTCTTTCTCCTTCTGTGTGTACCATTGTTTAGTGAAGTCGATAGTGAGCTCCCGTTCCTCCCACTTGCTCAGCTGACTTAAAGCTTGTCCTTTTGTCGTGCAAGAACTTGTGATGAGGTTTCTGTCTGCTGCGTTGATTTACCATTCTCTTGTCTGATTAAGGTCTCTAAAGACTCTCCTCAGAGTAGTTGCAAGTAAGCTTCTGCTTGCAGTTCCCCACAATGTATTTAGTACATTTAAATTAATACAACTAAAATAATTAATACACTTAATAAAATAGCATGATATGTTTAAACAGGTAGAGGTCGAGGTAGAGAGAAACTTAAACTGCTATTGTTTTTCTCTGAGATATATTATCAGAACTGTGTTCACATCCTCCTTTGACTTTCCTTCAAAGTCCAACCTTGTCTTTGGATATTCTGATTGAGTGAATGGAGTGTTTCCTGCTTCTGTTTTTACCGTGTGAGGTGCATGCAATGAGAGAAGTTTGGCTAGGGAGGAAAAAAATTCTTTGCCCCCCAAATTCTCTCACAGCACGACCACACGTGTAAACAACTATGTCGGAGACCAACTATGGCATGTAAATAGCCTGTCTTTCCTGAGGCTGCTGTTTGGATATAGAGGCTGAGGTGTGGTGCAGGAATCTTTGCTTCTGTTACTGAGTTCAGCACACAGGGGGTAGGTGGGGACAAACCCTCTCGATACCCGCAGGATACAAGACATCAGACCTGTCACTGCATACATCTTAGTCCTTATTAATACCAGGATTAGTCCCGTGAAAGTCTGTATCCTTTTTGTAATGGAAACCATGGCATCCATAAATATGTGCATATTTAGTATTTGGATGAAGAGTACTGGTGCTTTCTCTCTGGAGAAACAGGGCTCTCTTTTTGTTGTGTCTTGGGTAGAGCTGTTTTTTGAAACTTGGCTGGGATGTGGAGCCCGGTTACCTAAAGACCATGGGGCTTCATTTGCAGCCAGCGAGCAGAGAAAGCTGAGCTTCTAGTACAGATGTTTCATTTTATTCTTGTTTAATTTCTGTCCTTTATATTCACACATTTATGGGTTTTTCTGAGACTTTACAAATTAAAAGTAGTAAAGTTTGTGTTTCATTAACATGAAAGTACCATATTCCTAGGTGTTGGAATACCTGCTGCTGTACTGTGTGCAAGAAAAACAGCTTTTGAGAGTCTATGGTGTAGTATCTGTCCTTCATTTTGCTTCCTAAATACAAATATATAATCTTACAGAAACCTGAATCTGAACTAGCTGTTGGTAATGTACTTGTATGACCTGGAAGTTAGTAATATCCATTAGCTACAGTATAGCCCACATAAGCTGGTTGAATTTGGATAAGAATACTGCATAATGCTCAAAGTGTCACCCTTGCAGAAAATTAACTATCAAAACATTGGAACAGGTGCTTTATGCCCCTATATTCGTGAGTGCACAGAATTTCTATGAGCAGATACTGCCTGCTGTAAGCCACAAGCAATTTATAGGGACAGATTCATATTGGTACATGACGACATAAGATACACTACTTAGAAAGGTAGGAAGGTGCATTTAACTACCTAGAAGCTTCCCCTCCTCCCCGTTTTCTTTTTTTTTTTCTGAAACATAAATGAATTTCGGAGAGAAGCTAAAAATGACTATTAAATTTATGTACTGCTCAGATACATTATGTCTTAGATCTGTTTATTTTAGTTTAAATTAATGAGGATTAGATGTGTCCATGTCTCAGCTGGAAGGCTTCTTAAGGCAGCAAAATAAAGTGGTAAGAGCAGAGCAGTTCATCTTATGATGGCTGGTGCTACAGTATTGTTAGGGAGCAGTATTTACTACCCACTCTGCTTTCTGAGCGTAGCTTTTAAGACACGCAGGTCTTACTGTGGAGTGGCTTTTAATTAACAGCCCTTTGTTTCATGTGTTTAGGATATTTACTTCATACAAAGTTTCCACCTTATTAAACAGCACACTGCAGTTCAGTGAGATCTAATGCATTAGAAGTCAATATTGCTGATGATTTTTTCCCGAATTGCTCCATTAATTAGCAGAATGACATTTCTGACATCATGGAGTTGTCTCGAATCTCCAGTCTCTCCCCACCCCACCCTGCCCTGCCCCAAAAGGCAGGGATGTCTCATGACTGTGTGCTATCGGCAAGCTAGCTGGTGGGACTCTGCTAGTGGCAAAAGTTTTTTGGGTCACGGCATCAGGTTGTTACTGCTTGGAATGTTTGTTATGCTAAAGCTAAAGGAATCGGGTTGGATCTAAAATGATATCGACACCATGAATATTCCGTTACTTATAAGTGTCTGATTATTGGATGCTTCGAAAAATCAGGGAGTTGAAACTTCAACCTTATTCTGTTACTGAATGGAAAGCATTGCATCGTTGATCGGTGTCTAGATTTTAACAGGAAGGGGTCTTCAGCGTTGGAATCTGCTGTGCGTGACCCTGTCATCACTCTTGGCAAGCGGGTAGGGATTAAGCCAGTGTCAGAACCAGTGACCCCCCCTCCTGTAAAGCAAAAGTACGTTGTCAGAGAATTGAGGTGAGCCCCGTGCTACCGCTTTCTGTGCTGTGCTATACGTACTCTATGGATAGGCAAAAAAATACATGCTCTAGTGCTGTTGTTTTGTCAAAACACTAAGTAACATGAAGAAGCAATTATTTTCCTATCTTATACTCCCAAGGAATCAAAGCACTCCTTGTGAGGAAGGCAGAACAAGGGGCAGTGGATACGTGTCAGTGTGGATCAGAAATTTAGATACATTTGCTGTATCTAAAAAACATAAAATAAGAAATGTTGCAGAACGTTATTTTCCCCACACACATTACAAAATGAAACTTTAAAGTAGAAGAGGAGATGAATGAACAGTAGTTTTTGAATCCTGCTGGGTGATAAAAGAAATCAATGTTCCTAAATGGTGTAACTGATGATAAGTTTATGAAGTAATTAGAGGAGCAGCTGATAGCATACTTTTGAGGAGTCAAATACTACACAGACAGAAAGCAATGTTGTTTTGTTCTAAACATCAAGAATTGTCTACTTTTTATCTGCGGTTTGCTCTTCTGCTTGAGTAAATGTCTTTGAATTCTCCAGGTGCTTTTCCCACATGAGTGAAAGAAGAGTAGCCAGTTAAAAGAAGTGACTGCTGTGGAGGACAGCATGACCACCATGAAAAGAAGCTGCCTCCTTGCACTGCTGTTGGCAGGACTTGGGGGATTGGGAATACTGGAGCCAACAACAGAAGATACCCACTGCCACAGAGCTGAGCACCCAGTTATTGCATACAAAGGTAAGGCGTAAGCGCAAAAAAACTTTTCCAGAAGTAGGCTAAGGATTGTTTAGTCTCTTAATGGGAACCTCTGTTTTTAATGTTTAATGGTATGAGATAAAAAAAAAAAAAAAAATAGTGTGTTCTGTGCTGTTATATAGTAACCTGGACTGTATTCCATACAAGTTAACTATGACTAGGCTTGCAAAGTTTGTTCACAATTTGGTGCTGAATGTGTCATTTAAAGGCAGGTGACTCATTTTCCTCTGTGATTAAAACCAGCCTGTACTGTTGAAGGGGTTGTTCCTTTCCAGGTGCAGGTGTACTCTTAATTTTATGACTTTTCTCTTGGCCCAGTCCTCCAGCCCATCTAGGTCCCTCTGAATGGCAGCCCTGCCCTCCAGCTTATCAACTGTTTTTCTGAATTTGGTGTTACCTGCAAACTTTACAGACTGCGCTCTGTTGCCTCCCCTTGGGCACTGATTAAAGTGTTAAACAGGGCAGGTCCCGGGATCAGCCCCTGTGATACTCCTCTTGTTACTGGCCTCATGGTGGAGTCAGGTCCATTAAACATTTACTCTGTGTCCTTGATCATCCAACTGGCTTTTTATCCATCTGGTTGCCCACCTGAAGAGACAGATCGTAGCATCCTAACTTGCAGTGAGCCACTGTTGAAAACCTTGAGATAAATGACATTCCCTGCTCTCCCCTCATCATTAAAACTAGTCATTTTCTGACAGAAGGCAATTGGGTTGGTCAGGAATGACTTACCCTCGGCAAATCCATGCTGACTGTTCTCAATCACCTTCTTCTCCGAATGTCCAGAAAAGTACATTCCAAGAGGAGTAACTCCATAACTTTCCCCGGAACTTAAGTGAGAGTGACTGGCCTGTAGTTCCCACACTTGTTTTCCTGCAGTTCCCGAGGACCTTCCTCCAACTTTGCGACCTCTCCGAGGTGAATAGTGGCCAGCTATCTCGGTGTCCATGGATGCAGCTTGTCTGATCCCACGGATTTATACAGGTCGCAAGTCATCCCCGACTCCGGGCACATCTACTGCTGGTAGTTCTTGAACCCCTTTGCTGAACACCGGATGCCTTTGAGACCTTGTTGGTGAAGACTGGAACAAAGGGGGAGGTATTGAGTCCCTCAGCATCATCTGTATCTGCTGGCACTAGATCACCTGCCCAAGTCAGCGACTGTATTTTCTCTGTTCAACCTTTCATTACTATTATAGCGGTAGGAGATGCTCTTGTTGCCCTTGGCAATCCATACAAGCCTTAACTCGCGCTGGGCTTGGTTGAACCTGACACCATCCTCACATGCCCATGCGGTGTTTCGAAACCCCTCCTTTGTCACTTTGTTCCTGCTTACACATCATACGTAGAGCCTTTTTGCATTGGAGCTTCACCAAGCCAGTCTCTTCTTACTTTTGGCTGTTGTCCTGAGTATTGGGATGCACTGCCGAGGAACAGCTGGAACAAAACAAAGAACATTTTGAGGGTGGTGTCTGTAAAAACCCGAGGCATTTAATAACTTATCTGATTTTTAAATTTGTTTGAACTGAGACTTTTCCATTAGTGTCGCAATTTAGAACAAGTTCCACATAGTTTGTAGCTACGAGGATGTAGGGATTAAAAAGTATTATATTACATATTGCATTCCTCCTGTTTTTCTAAGAAAGCACATGGGTAATTTTTTTGCTCCAATGAATTAGGATTTATTGAATTTTAATTGAAAAAGGATTTGTTTCCATTCATTTCATAAAGTTAGAGAAAATAATGTTGTGTTTTCTACATAAAGTAGTTTTGTTCTGCCACTTTAATGGTTGAATAAGAGTAATTGTACCAGCTGTCCCTTTCTGCGATACGTTGGGGAATGAACAAAAGTGGTTACATTCTGTATCTGGGAACAGCAAGCCATTAGCCTGTTGTGAAGGAGGGAGCTTTATCTCTCATTTATTGATGGACCAAATAGCATGATTTATTCGGCTGAAATATCTGTTTTTCTTAGCTTTCATATTGTGTGTATAATTTAGTTTAAAAAAAAATGTTATTTTTTATCACAAGACGCATACACAATATTGTAAATTAAATTAGCACAGTTAAAATTCTGGCACTTAATTGCTTAATTTCACAAACTAAGAGATCACTGCGTGTACTTTTTTTTTTTTTTGGTATATGCAACTATAAAAACAAATAACCGAGACTCATGACCAGAGCCATGTGCTAAAAGTTGATCAAAAATGTGTTGGTTTATGAGTCTGATTCAGCCAGCATTTAGAAGAGTACCTGGAGTTTAGCCTGATCCTGCCTTTTAGGTGCTTATTGTTCTCTGTCATATTTAATTTCTAGTGGTGTCTTTCCACTTCTAAGTTACTATGCTAAGGCTTTTTTGGGACAGATACCTCCTCTGTCATCTTGTTTCAGTTGCATCTTTTTATGTAGGTAGAGATGCTGTCACAGCTGGAGTTTACCGAACAAAACCGATCCTTTTTGCTGTAAATATATGTGGGAAATACAATTATACAGAAACATTTATTGTCAGATTGTTAATATGACATTTAGTAATATTTTCAATGCCAGTCTCCCTCTTGATCTTTGTGGTAAAAATATCATTAATCAGTACATATCCATGACATACCTTAGCTTTTATGAATTGACATATCTTGAAAAAGTTTTCCTTCACTTAAAAATATTCTGACAAGCTGTCGTTCATAGTCGTCACAATAATCTGTCGGGAATTGTCAGTAAATCTTAGAAAGTACATGTAGAAGCAGATTGGCAATGCAGTATACAGTACGTGATAGCTAAGTAAAATAATTGGTGCGGGCACACAGTGGTTGACTTGTAGTTGCAGGACTGCTAGATAAGGGAAAAGTGAAGGTAGGAAACTGAAGGAAAAGATGACTGAGAGGTTTGTCTTTAAACCGGTATGTTAGGAATGGACTGCTTGGGTTAGCAAAGTATAAAAAAAAAAAAAAAAAAAAAAAAGAGGTGTGTGTGAGAAGAGCTACTCTGTGAATGAATCCTGCAGTACGAGTTGGCAGGATTCAGCCAGCCGTCTTCCCGATTCCCGTATTCTTCCTACGGTGTTCACTGACTTCATGAATGCCTATAAGAAAGTGCCCTCCATGCCTGTTGACATCATTAGTGCTGCTAAACCAACACAGGGTCCTGAAATCAATTCTTAACGCCTACAAACCCTTTCGTTTGAATGCTGCATTAATACCCAATTCTGTAAAGTCATCTTATAATAATACTAGAACCACCAGAGCGAAATGCTGTGGGGGATACTGGAAATCAACGTGAGTGGTAGGTACTTTAAAACCTGTGAACTCAGTACTAACTTCACAGAGATATCAACTCTTTTGTTGAATTTATAACTGACTGAAGCCTTTTTTTTTTTTTTTTTGTGGTTTCTGGTATGCCAAAATAGCGATGTGCTTATTTGATTTGTCTTCCTTTGAGAGGCATGGTAGATGGAGTATAAACTATGAAATAAAACTAATGGAGTGAGAGTCTGGTGAAGCGTATGGATGAACAGCTGCAAAAAACTAATAGAAAGAAAAAGTAGTCCCCAGGAGTTGTCACGGTGAAATATGGAAAGGGAGTATATCCCCTGAAAGAGCTTGCTTGCTTTCTCTACCACTGCCCATCGAAAAATGCTCACTTAGGTGATGATCCTGTCAAGCTGCCTGTTGCAGAGAGGCATATACTATTTCTATCATTGATTTTCTCAACTAAATAGTTTTAACTGAAAGTCCATGATATATCTGAGTGGAGATCAGTGACGAGTGGCATTCCTAATGGGTCAGCACTGGGACAAGCCCTGTTTAACGTCTTTGGTGACATGGAGAGTTGGATTCAGTGCATCCTCAGCAACTCTACCAGTGACCCCGAGCTGTGTGGTGGGGGACACGCTGAGGGCAGGGGTGGCATCCAGAGGGACCTGGGGATGGGGGTCCGGGCAAGCCTCGTGGGGTTCAACAAGGCCAAGGGCAAGGTCCTGCCCGTGGGTCGGGGCAATCCCCAGCACAGATACAGGCTGGGCGAGGAGTGGATGGAGAGCATCCCCAAGGAGAGGGACTGGGGGGTATTAGTGGATGGAAAACTGACTGTGAGCCAGAAATACGTGCTTGAAACCCAGAAATCCACCCGTGCCCTGGGCTGCATCAAGAGAAGAGTGGCCAGCAGGGCGAGGGAGGGGATTCTCCCCCTCTGCTCCGCTCTCATGAGATCCCACCTGGAGTCCTCTGTCCAGCTCGGGGGCCCCCAACAGCAGCAGGACCCGGAGCTGCTCGAGCGGGGCCAGAGGAGGCCACGGAGATGCTGGGGGGGCTGGAGCAGCTCCCCTGGGGGGCCGGGCTGAGAGAGTTGGGGGGGTTCAGCCTGGAGAAGAGAAGGGGCCGGGGGGACCTTCGAGCGGCCTCCCAGGGCTTAAAGGGGGGGCAGGGAAGGGGGGGAGGGACTCTTGATTGGGGATGTGGGGATAGGATGAGGGGTCACAGTTTTAAACTGAAAGAGGGCAGATTTAGATGAGATGTAAGGGATAAATTCTGTACTGTGAGGCCGGTGAGGCACTGGAGCCCCTTGCCCAGAGCAGCTGTGGGTGCCCCCTCCCTGGAAGGGGTCAAGGCCAGGTTGGACGGGGCTGGGAGCCCCCTGGGCTGGGGGAAGGGGGCCCTGCCCGGGGCAGGGGGGGGCACTGGGGGGGCTCTGAGGACACTTCTAACCCAAACCAGTCTGTGATAACTCCTGACATCAAACAGCAAGAATTTCATCCATCACTTGAGAACTGTTACTCGAGTACTTTATTTGCCAGTGGGAGAAAGAGAAGGTGCAGAAGCAGGGGAAGTGCATGCACTTTTAAAGGATTTTTGACATGATCTAAAATACTCTTTCATTTTATGTCTCTCATACACAGTATTAATAATTACACTGTAATTTGTTTATCTGCATAATTAATGTTAGGAACACATGATGCACATTTTCTCTCTCCCAGAAACTATAATAAATAAG